CCCTATCATGTCTCCCAAAGTGAACCATCCAAATGTAGAACTTAGAACCTGCCTACAGTTGATTCCAATTCACAGCATCCCAAAAGGACAGAATACTATTACTCCAGAGGGTTTCCAAGGCTCTTATATGGAATAGACGGTCATATCTTTTTCTTGCAAAGCAGCTAGTAGGTTTGAACCTTAAACCTTTTGGTTAGCAGCCAAACATTTTAACCACTGTGCCACCAGGGCCCTTGAATTTAGAACAGATAAACAAATTCAGTAGAGTCATACAATGAAAACCAACTATTGCTCTATGCAGCAACATCATGAAACTCAAAACTATGCTGAACAAAAGATGATTGTAGTGTGATTCCACTTTCACAGGGTCTGAAAAAATAATAACACCCTATCCAATCTCATTGATTCCAAACTGATATAGGGTTTCCAAGGCTATAAATCTTTACAGGAGCAGAAAGCCTCATCTTTTACCAGTGAAGTGGCTGGTGGGTTTGAACCGCTGACCTTGTGGTTGGCAGTCTAACACTTAGCCAACAGTGACACTCGTCCTTCTTTTAAAAATAAGAGAAATGAAAAGGAAGAAATCAAACTTCATTACCTGTTCAGGGAGAGAGGCGTTGAGGACCGGGTTGATAGAGGGGTTCTGAGGCACCAGTAATGATCGTCTCACTTTTTCAATATGGGTGGAGGTTATAAAAATTAGTTCTTTTTGTGATAGCACAAAATCTGTCTGTGTGGGTGGAGACATTGGACAGTGTAAGACATGGAAAAATAATTTATAAATTATTAAGGGCTTGTGAAGGAGGGAGGGGGAGGAAACTTGAGGAGCCAATACCAAGGGTGCAAGTAGAAAGCAAATGTTTTGAGAAGAGGGTGGCAACAAATGTACAAATGTGCTTGACACAATGGATGGATGGATGGATGGATTGTGATAAGAGTTGTATGAGCGAGCCCCCAATAAAATGATTTTTAAAAAATCTGTAAGATTTGTGGATTTTTCTGTATATTTGCCATACTTCAATTTCTTATTGAAATAGTTAGATTTTCTTTAATGATATAAAATTAATAGTTCTAGAAAAATAATGGTTATAGGTACATGTGACAAAATATGTGAGAACATGACAGTCTTTAGCATCCCCTTCCTTCCTTCGAGGTGGCCCCTGATCTTTTATCAAGCTCCCCCAAAGCAAGGAACATTCATATTTATATTTGTCTACAGATGGCACCATGGGCGCAAGGTGAGGTCTTCTACTCCTGTCAAGAGCTACAATCTCAGAAACCCGCAGGGACGGGGGCCCTCTCCTCCAGGGTCTCAGTGAGTTAGAACCAACTCCCTGGCAGTGAGCACTCAGAGCCGTCCACGACAGGTCCGCAGTAACGAAGAACTAAACATGTGACTTTAGTCGGTTCTTCCTGGCACAGCAAAGACTAGGTTTGAATGGGAGCAGTTCGGGGTGACACAAGCAAGCTTTCTTTGCAATGTTGTTGGGGTTACCAATTCCGGTGAGACTAAAAATGCACCATCGACTCCAACATGTATTTATTTTTACTTTATATAATTTTTAAGTGATTCTTTAGAGAACTCACATATGATTTTATAATAACTCTGCAAGTATATTGGTACATTAATATAATATGGAATTTGAGACTTATTACCTGGAGTGGGTTTGGTGTCTATTTTGGATTTGTTTCTCACCTTTACTGTATATTTAAAAATTGCTATTTTCACTAGTCTGGCTTTTTCTCTCTCAATTTTGAATAGTGGTATAATTATGGCAAAGGAAAATTGGGTAGGGGTATGTGTGGCTTAGTATTTCCTATTCTTACTATCTATATTTATCTCTTTATACCACACTGCCATCGAGGAGATTCCGACTCATAGCAACCCTCTACAGGGTTTCTGGGACTGTCAATGCTTTGGGAGTGGACAGCCTCATTTTCCTCCCTCAGCAGCCCAGTACCTCACTCACAGCACCACCAAAGCCCTTTGCCTATTTACAGATACCTACCGAGGTGCGTAGCTACTGTGAGAAGGTATGGATAGTGGATGGCTCAAAGGAGAGGATGGCTCAAAGCTGTCTGTAGCTCAATGAGAAAGAGTAGTAGAAGAGAATGGAAAACTCTATTCCAACAACAGTGAATTGTACTTGTAATCATTTCATCCGTACACCAATAATGGATTGAATTCCTTACACCTATAAAATATTGTTCTTGGAATTGGGGACACAATGGTAATACATTGGATCATCCTTGCTCTCATGGAACTTACATCCCAATGTGTGAGATGTGACCACCTAGCAAATGATAAAATCACTTCATGACCCTTGTGACAAGTGCTCCTGAAGTGGAAGAAACGGGAGTGTGTTATTAGGGGCTCATGAGGAAAAGGTGCTTGAGTAGCTCTTGGAAGGAAAAATAACTTAGTGGGTGATTGTAGGAAATGAGTGGGGACATACTGCCACACTACAGACACAGTACAATTGAGCAAAGGCTTGCTGGAAGGATACAGTATACTATGTTTAAGACCCCAAAAGTCAGCATGACTGGTATACTCATCACTGGGACAGTGACCTCAATTAATAAGTTCATTGTGTGTTCTAATAATTGCAGGATACCATTTAAAAAGCACCCACCCCAATATCATAAGTAGGTTGGTATAGGAGTCTGGCAAGTAATAAACGAACTGGCAATTAGACCTGCAGCAAGAGGTATAGACCTTGGGGGATATTAATCTCCCAAAGTGGCTTCTTCACACAAAAAACCAAATGTGGGTTTGGACTAGGCGAGCTCTAGAATTTCTTTCAGCTAAAAGACTCTATTGATTTCTTTGTATTTTCAAAGCCAAAATAAGTCAGGTGCTGGTCATTTGAATTCCCATTTTCCTAAAGGAACATCTTTTATATCCAATTAACAGCTACTACTACAGTGTTGAAAGCAAGGTTACTTTGAGGACTAAGTGTGCCTGACCCACGCCATGGCATTTTCCATTGCCTCATATGCATGTGAAAGTTGGACACTGAATAAGGAGAATCGATGTATTGGGATTGTGGTGCTGGTGAATATTGAAAGTAGCAGGACTGCCAAAAGAACAAACAGCTCTTATAAGAGCCTCCGATAAAGTGATCTTTTAATAATAATAATAAAAAAAGAACAAACAGATTTGTGGTGTGGTGGGAGAAGTACAACCAAAATGCTCCTTAGAGGCAAGACTTTGTCTCAAGTGTTTTGGACATGTTGCCAGGAGAGACCAGTCACTAGAGAAAGACGTCATGCTTGGTAGAGGGGCTGTGTCAGCCCGGATTGACACCCAGGCTGCAACATTGGGCTCAAACAAGAGTAATGGTGAGGGTGCAGGCCTGGGCAGTTACACACAGGGTCCCTGTGAGTGGAAATTCCACGATGGCACCCAACAACCACTACAACAAATGGAGATGAAAGTTTGATGATCTCAAAGGATATATATCTATATATCGATATATAGATATAGTGTGTTTAAGATGGGAAGTGGGGAAGTGACCGTCCCGAGTCGTTTTAAAAGTCCTGATTTTTGGAAAGAATGCCCGACAAGCTAGGGAACGGCGGGAGAACGGGAAGGGAATATACAGTTTTCAGCTGCCATGTGGCTATTTCGCCAGGATGTGAGTTTTATATTATTTTTTAAAATTTTAGTGTTAAACTTTAATAATAACAAATAATTGTTGAGAACTGATTATTGAGAACTGCTTATCAAAGTGCGCATTGTTGATCAGTTGTTAGAATTCGACCACTATTGTTTGGACTTAATGAACAAAAACATTTTGTTAACGGTCTCTCAGACGATACACATCGTGCTAGTGAAACAAGTGATGTCAACAAATCAGCTATTCAGATAATTTAAGTAATTTATTTCATAAATACATACATTTTCTTGAATTTAGCAGACAGTAGTCATATTATTTATATTTTATAGTGGCGGCAAAATGATATAGAACAAATTTTTAATCAAGACCCCCCCCCCCCAACCCTCACCCCACTCCCCGGTTAATGGTGTCACGCTTTACCAATATTAAAATCTGGGCACCTGAAGAACAAAGTGCGTGTTTCCCCGGAGAAGCAGGTGGAAGGAATTGGCTGGGTCACCCAAAGCCAGTGATGGTGCTAAATAAGATGTTGGGGAGCACCCTCTTAGCCTTACAGGTGAGAAAATAGAAATCCCAGAGCTGAGGTCTAGAACTTAGTCTTTCAACGACCCTCGGACTAGTGCGTATCTGTTACCTACGTAGCCAAAGCCTCCTTCCCAGCTCGGAGGAGCACACAGGAGGCCGAACCTGAGGATGCCGACCACCTGCTTAACCGGGGTCCTCTTTCAGGGCCTCCAGCTTCCTCTCCCCGCTTCAACCTAGGTCCGGAGGCGGCCACCTGGGGCAGGGTGGTGCAGCACCCGCCCAGAGCCTCCGGCGCGGGGTCTTCCGGGTAACCCAAGAGGTGTCAAACGGGCCGGGGCAGGTGCCGGCGCGACCATTGCCCTGCACCCATGGGCTCGGCGGCGCCCGGTCCCCGGGGCCTCCGCACGCCGCTCCCGCGCCGCGTCACCGTCCACGGGGCTGCGGCCCGCGTTCTTCCCGGCGCTCCGGGCCCGGAAGCGCCGAACCGGGCCCCCAGCAGGAGGGCACCCGGCTCCCGGAACCGTGGCTCTTTCTAAAGCAAGTGGCCCGAGGCCAAAGGATACAAATTTCGCGCGGGCTGCGCGCCGAAGGGCCCGGAAAAAGGACGGACCGGAAGTGGCGGTTGTCATAGCTACCGAGGTGCGTGCGCGCGCGCCCCTCCCCCTCCGTCTCCGCTCCATCCTCTTTGTCCCGCACGCCTCACCTTATTTTGAGGAGCCCGGGGGACCAGAACGAGGAAGGGATTGCGCAGTGGCCCCCTACACACACAACGAGCGGCGACGACGACCGCGACGGCCTGCGGACGTGGGAGAGGACCAGGCCGGAAGTGGTCGTTTCCATGGTAACCCTGGACCGGGTTGCCTGGGAGATGACCCCTTTGGGTCTCTTTTGAGTCTCCGCTGTCGCGTCACCTCGAAGACAGATCTAACAGATTCTGAACGGTCTCCCACGATGATTCCTGGGAAATATCGCTCTGTTTCTGGCCGGGCTGCGAACAACGTAGGTTGGGCTTCTACTTTTCTCTTTCCTCCCCTTGGTATCCCCCCGGCTGGCATCTTTGTCTAGGTGATGGGGGCATGGACCCCTGGGCCTACCCAAGCTATTGTCTGACCAAGACTTGAGGTTTCTGGATTAGACCAAGGCGCTTTGGGGGTGTGCTAGGATGGGTTTTCAAAATCTTGCACCGCATCTGGGGCACCCAGAAGGTGGACTTGGTCTGCTGTGAAAGACTCAGGTCCATTTAAATCTATTAATCAGTAAATTCTTTTAATCAGTACATTGGGAAAAGAATGGATAGTTGAGAACTACTACCACCGCCTTCACCCTTGAGATCTTTAATTAGACCTGAAGTGGCAAATGGGGTAATACTTTGAAATTGGAAGGATGAAATTGCTGCCATTTTGGAAAATATGCCAGAGTGAAATCTTTTAATGTTTAGTCGTGGTTTTACTGTCTTCAGCAAAATTTCAGAACCTGTTAATTTGCCAGAAACAAGAAAAAAAACCAAACAAACCAAAACATCTGTTCTATTTAATATTTTTGTTGTATCTTCATTTTTCTTTATGGTGTGTGTGTGTAGAAAGCTCGATCCTTACATCTATTCTGATTCATGTCAACCCTGTGGGATAGAGTAGAACTCCACACTCGGTATGGAAGCTGGCTGTCACTGGAGCCATTGGTCTTTAAGTTAACAGTCAAACACCGTAAGCACTCTGCAACAAGGGCTCCTGTGTGTTTTTGTGTACTTATGCACATATCTATATCTGTATGTTTAAATTGAGAACAGATTTTATTATGATTTAATCTCTAAATTTCAGGTGAATTGTGGGCTTCATCTGGTTATTCAGACATCATCGCTTCCTGAAAAAAATAAAGTAAGATTTAGCACATTTATATTTGAATTGAAGATAAGTTGTTTTTTACCTACACAGCATGATTTACAAAGTAAAGTCTGAACTAGGGATTTTAATTATATTTATTCCTCCCTCCAATGTCAAGCTCATTATAATTTTCCACTGACATAAAGCTAGGATTAACTCTCTTTTAAAAACTTAATTATATTGTCTCAATTTCAAGAGTTAAGTTTTTTGACATTTCAACATTTCTGAGACCAAGGTCCTTCTTACAATTGATGGTGCATCAAAATTTAGGTGGAATAGTTTTTTCATAATAGTGGGCAAATTGATTGTATGTCTTACTATTAAAAAGCATCTTACAATGGATAAAATGTGGTGATTTAGGGAATATCTCTACACTCATCACTTAAACTCAGGGGAGAAATAGTAAGTGCTTAATGTTATTTAGAAGGGAAGATATGAACATGAGATTTTCTTTCCCAGATAATTTGCCCATAATATTTCTGGGTTTTCAGAATTTCTGGCCTTTGATAATTCTTTTGAGATTGTGAAATGTACGTCATTTTCTCTCTCTTCTGTTTCACCTGAGCACACAAACATATTTCCTACGCAACTGTGTCTCAAAACCCAGCACCGTGTTTTTCTCCTCTAAGTTGAATACCTCCAACCATCACCATTTAATTGTTTCTTAAAAAGCTGTTAACTAGAAGTCACTGGAGAAACTTTAAAGCAAAGTTTATAGGTAACACGATTTGGATCAGGGCAAGAGGGCATGAGGACGGTCGATCGAAGGACCTCATTGGGCCGATAGTAATTTATTACCTCATGCCGCATTTGATATTATCAGACACTTGAAAATGCATCAGTTAAATTAATTGAAATATTTTTATTATAATCGGACATAATAGATTTTACCCCAATGCTTTGCTATTGATCTCAATTAAGTCTTCCATTACAATGTGTTACTAGGTGCTGTGTGCAAATTCTTTGCAAACCATTCACTTTTTGTTATGCAGACATATGTTCTAAGAAAATACCTTTAATTATACAACTCACAAGGATATAATGCAAATGCTACTGTAGTATTTCATAGTATGTATAAATCTGGAACATCATAATTCTTTAAAAATAAATAGGGTTTGTGTATATGTGTTTAATAGCCTCATCTGCTTTTGCTTTTCTCAGTTTTCTCATCTGATAATTATTTAAAGTAATGGAAACCCTTCTTGTAAAGTTAAAAATGCAATTTTATTGTTATAATTGGACACTGAAAGGATTTCTAATGGTCAAAAGAGAGTGATTTTTCAACAGCCCTTATTTTGTATATTTTTGTTTCTTGGAGAGAATGAATGTTTTAATGATTGTTTTGGGAATGAGAGAATAGAGGATGTGTCTCAGATTGGAGCATGCTTTCATCTGACTATGAAACTGACCCAGTTTTGTTCTGTGCGTGGTACAGTACGTATGACTAAAATTATCTTCTTAGTCATTTTAAGGCTTCCAATTCAGCTGCATGCACAATATTTTGCACCTCTCTTTAGTTAGTTCCAGAATTTTATCACCCCAAAAGAATCCCTATGCCCCTTAAAGTAGTCACTCCTACACTCCTGCTTCCCCAGAAGCTGGAGACCGCAGATCTGCGTTCTGTCTCAATGGATTTGCCTGTTATGGACATTTCATGCAATACAAGGAGGTTTCAAATATTCCTTGAAAAATGGAATTAAAGGATAGTGTCATTTTTCTAGGAACTTTTGAAGCCTCCTTGTATAGAGCCTATTGCACCTGGCTTCTTCTATTTAGCAGAAAGTTCATGTATGTTGTCGCATGTCTCAGTTATTGTATGTTATGTCAACATCTTCCTTACTTATTGATAACTTTTTCTCCAAATCTATTTTCTTAAATTTTTTAAATAGGTTGAATTCAGGCTAAATAAAGAAACGTCAACATTTCCTGGCCGACTCTTACAACATGACCTTGAAAGAAACTATTCAAGTAGGCAAGGTATTGTCTCTGCTTAGAGATCAGATATGCCTTTTCTTCTTTAACTCATATTGATTGTTTCATAATATTGAATCACTGGTCCAAACAAACTTGAATTAAAAAGGAAATGGTTCATTGGTTGTTAGATTGGTTAGGGAATATATGACCTATTGTTTAGATATAATTGGTGTATATATACATCAAATAGATTATTTTAAATACAGAGAAAGCTGTTGCTGCTTTGGCTTGGGGTGTGCTACAGACTAGAAAAAGGGGAAAGAATGTTCCAGATAATATATGAGAACTAAGAAAAAGTGGCTCTTTAATGAGGGTAGCAGTATGAGAACACAGTTCTTTAAGACACAAGGAAGCAATGAGGAGAAAGGCCAGGAGTAGAAAAAGAAGGGATCTCCTTCCCTTACTCTGGTGTGGGATTATAGATACTTTATATATGAGGCCTTATATTTTGACACGCATCATATGAAATCTTGTTATAAATAGAGATTCGTAGTGCTCCCCTTTGGCCTTCCCTATTCTGATGTTACCGGTCTTGGATGGTCCTTGGAAAGGTTCATTTTAATAATACCTAAAGTAATGCTTATGGGTGTGGTTTGTGTACCATATCGCGATACGTACTACCTTATATGATCCTGTTATATTGATGCAATACATTCTTCAAGGAGAGATTTCCTGTGGCATGTTTTAATTATAGTTTGTTCCTACCAACTATTAACTATCTGTAATAAGCTAGTGTTCAGCGATTTAAAATCCTTATATACAGTATTATCATTCCCTTCTAGGAGTTTATATGAAAAAACTGCTTGCTTTTCTCACTAGTGCCTGAATTGATGGTTATTTTGGATGTTGACTAGTTCCCCCTTGGTTCTGTCTTGAAGTTCCCCTGAGCCAATCTTTCTCTTTTTCCTACTCCCTGCACATAGAAGAACAGTCTAAGGGAAGTTCCGCTGTGCAGGTAGCATCCCTCTTGCTTCCTTAGGTTCAGTACAGTACATCTTTATGGAGTGTGTACTACGGGCCAGGTGCCATGTTATCATATTGGAACCTGGAATTCTCAGCCAGGGCTTTTTATGCTTGGGCTCACATTTCTGATAATGATCTTTTACAAAAAGGTTTTCCAAATAATGAGTCTAAAACACTTTTCCCGGCCTTCTCTTGTGTTAGAGTAGGGCGTTAGTACACAGATTTGTGGGTAACTGGCCAAGGACATTTATTTAATGATGAAGTATTACAAGCTATTTCCCAGTGAGGAAATAGCACGAAATGTTTTAATTTTGAGAACTAAAAGTCAGAAATGCATAACATCATATATATAAATAGTGACCTGGTGAGGTAGTGGCTACATATGTTGTTACTGGCTAAGTAAATTTATCTAATGGTAAAGTATTACAAGCTATTTCCCAGTGAGCAAATGGTATGAGTCATTGAATTTTGAGTACTTAAAGTCAGAAATGAATATCAACATAAATGTAAATAGTGACCTGGTGATTGTGTTGCCAACCATAAGGTCAGCCGTTCAAATCTGCCAGCTACTCCTCAGGAGAAAGATGCGGTTTTCTGCTCTGGTGAACAGTTACGGTCGTGGAAACCCACAGGGGTATTTCTATAGGGTTGCTATGAGTCGGAATCGACTGGATGGACTGAGTGAGGGAGTGACAATTGAACTCTTTTCGGGAAAAACTAACCTAATGAATTTTTCATGAAGAAAATTCTTGATATTTTTCTGCAACATGCATTTGATACGTCTTAAATGTATTGAGTAGCTCTGGTGACACAGTGGTTAAAGCACTTGGCTGCTAACCAGAAAGTCATGGTGTACGTGTGTTAACCTTTCAGCAGGAGCTATATGTGACAGCCTGCTTCCTTGCAAATGCACTGCTGTGGACAGCCTTACAGGGTCAGTATGAGTCAGAAGCGACTTGATGGCACTGAGCCTGGTTTGGTTAAGTGTCCACTTGGTAGTTTCCCGAAGGTGCCCCTCCAGAGTCGCTGAGCTGCAGAGTTACATGCAAAGAAGGCCACCCCACTCCCGCTGTTTCCCTGGCTTGTGTACTTATCATTTGACCTTCAAAAACACAAAATGGGGAAGAAATTAGAAGTAGCACTTTATCACTTAATTTGAAGGACTTCTGTTTAAATCACTGCATCCAAATCCCCCGTCGTTAGAATCCATTTCAGCCCACTGTTATTTTTCAAAATTCATTAAGAGAATTTAATAGCCAATCAGCCTAAATTAACTAGTACTACTCTCCATCAAAAGACACTGTGAACAGAATTCATATCGCTGAATTGTACACTTAAAAATGCTTAAGATGACAAACTTTTTGTTATGTATATTTTGCCTAATATTTTTTTAAAGTTAAGAAACTTGATGTTTTAGTTAGATTGATTAGTCTAAAACTTTATATGTGATTAAACATTTTTTAATATTATTAAGAAACAGAACCTTAAACCAGGCATTCCAAACCAAGCCCACTGGCATCGAGTCAATGCCGACTCAGAATGACCCCAGACAGCAGGGTAGAACTGCCTCTGTGCATCTCTGAGACTGTAACTCTTCACAGGAGTAGAAAGTTTCATCTTTCTCTTGAGAATTGGCTGGTGGTTTCAGACTGCTGACCTTGCAGTTAGCAGCCAATGCATAACACTAGGCTACCAGGACACCTACTATATAATAAACTCTCAGTTAAAAATAGATTTTAATTGATGAAATTTCTTAAGTAATAATTTAAAAATATGTGTGTAGAGAGTGAGATGGTGACTGGTTATTAAAATCGTGACAAATCACAAATCATTAGAAAATTTGCAACCAGGATTTTGGTTACCAAAATGATTTCAAAGACAACGTCAAAGGACTCACATATATGGAATATATTTCATCATTCATCTGTCCATCCACCTACCTATTGATTCACCTACTTGTCTACCTGCGTATCTATCCATCTGTCTACCCATCCCCCCACTCACAGGTGCAGTGCAGTGAATGTTCTTATGAAATGTTAATCCTGTGGGATCTTTGAGAATACAATTATGAAAGGATTCATTTTGCATTCTTCTATTAAAGAGTTGATTATATTCTTTTTTAACATAAGTTGTATATAAAGTAGATTTCCAATTATCTGTTAATAAACTGAACACTCAATCTACTGATTGCCTGCTGGATTTGGTTTCTAATAAGAGTACAAATAGTAGAAAACGAGTCCACCTCTCAAAGAACTTATACATTTATCTGGAAAGGCAAGGTCTGCACAGCTGGTAAGTTAATTAGTGATATGAAGAAAGTCAGTAACAGAAGAAACGTTTCACGTAGGTGTGAAATGTCTCATCTTGCCCCTGATCCCTTTATCACCTTGACATTTAGAGGTTCCTGTTTATGTATTTTAAGGTCTTTCTACTGTCTCATTTTTATCTCTTGCTTTTTTTGGTAAGGTCTATTTCATACTTATAGTGATAGTAGACCAATCATGCTGCTAGTGACTATGAACCGAAAAGTGTAAAGCTAGCATTCCTCATTTGACTGAGTATAAATGAATTATAATCTGATTATTACTTCTGTATCCCAAGTCTTATAAAGTCTACATTTGTCCCTTAAATTCAGGGTTGGCCTAAAGCCTTTAAAAATGGTTCATAAAACCTGATTCTAATGCCAACAAGAGAAATCTCGATTGTCTATTGTTTAGAATTTTTTTAAAATCATCTTTAGTTGGCCACCTTGCTCCATTAATCCTTTGACTAGTTTTTATTTACTTGTTTTAGCTGTTTCAAACCATGTAACTTTGGATTTGAAAATCAATTTATAGAATTATAGTTGTCTGGATATTCTGCTGTCAGCCTGCTGTATCACTAGGCCAGTTCCATTACTAGACATTTTATACTCTGGAACTTCACTATCTTGACATCCATATTGAGATATCATGAATTCACAGAGGTGCAATGTAAGCAGTGATTATTTGGTTCAAGAAGCTAGGCTTGCGATAGTTCCCTGAAGGAGCCTGCTTTCCCAGTCTTTACTACCATCTGTTGGATTTTGATTCTAAGGTATATCATACTGTCCGATGACTTCCCAAGGGGTGTGGGATTCCTAGGCATGGTTTTCATCTCTTCATCTTATTGGCCATCTTATTACCAGGATTCGCTGGAAATAGGAGGTTCTTTCTTACTGCTCTTCAAGCATTTCAGCATTGGTTGCTGATTTCGGCTGAGTTTTTCCTGTATATTAGAGGAAGGTAGAGAAGATTTTCTCCAATAACCGAACTGTTTCCTTTTTGAGTTACTCTCCCATCTCATTGCATTTCTGATAGGTTTCAGCATTTCTTCTTGGTCATTCTACATTCTTCTAGATTTTTAGAATATATTTTAATATTTATCTCCCCCCAAATGCCTCTGAAGTGATTTTCATTAAGTGAAAAACAACCAGATACACTTATGTACAGGATTTTAAATAAGGATTCTTTTTTATTTTACCTCATGTGCAAATAGTCTGTTTTTAGACTTGATAGCTTTTTAGTTTGATATGTATTCGTCTGCCCACTGAGTTGAGAGCTACTTACTGATAGGGACACTCTCTACCCACCACTCCCTAGGGACCCTATCTAACCTCCAGCCCTGAGCCTCCTGTATGCCCTGTAGACTCTAACCACAAGTATACTTGCTTAATTGGCATCTACTTTTCGTCTCTTTGTAATATTCTCTCCCAATAGTGGCCGAATATACAAAGAAAATGTGATAACACAAGGTTACACCTGTTATCCCAAACTACTTTCTCTGTATTTCCTGTAGCAAAATCATGTATTGTCTAGCTTTGTGATAAACTTTTTGATATTTTGAAGGAGATGGAAGAGTAATAAGTCCTTCGCCTCGTAATAAGTCGTCATGCATCTCATCCACAACAAACGTGACAGAACTATGTGGTCTGGAAATGAGAACTGCCATGGGCTCCTTATCAGCATTTGGAGATTCTTCCATGATTCAGACACCTTCAAAGCCCCGAATCCGGCAGGGCTGTCATAGTGCTGGCCCAAATGTTTCTGGTAATAAGGGACTCTCAGTTATCAGAGAGCTAAGACGTTCGCATTAGTCAGACGTATACGGGGTAAAGATAGCACTAGAGCTGTTGTGTACTTTCCAGCAATCCATCAGGCAAGGGAAAACATTATTGGCACACATAGAAGACTTCATTTAGGCTGACGGAGGAAAGCCACAAACTCAGATTCATAACTAACTTCCAGTATGTAGACCATAGACACACACAGGCTCTCCATGAGTTAGACTTGCCCCAACGGCCGCAATGACATGGACACTAGCCCTTCCAGGAGAGGGACTTGTGGGCGCCAGGGTTCCCCCAATCCAAGGTGACTGTAGTTTCAAGGCTTTAAAGGTTTTTCTTAATCAAGTAACGTGTGTATCATTTTCACTAGGTGATCATATTAGTTTGGTGAGCTCATCAATGTCATCGTTTCCTATTCTCCAACGTTCTTCTGAAGAGAAAAGCCTGTACTCAGACAGGTTGACCCTAGAAAGGTGAGAACAATCTATTTTATCTTATTTTTTGGAATAATAGGCATGATATAAAGTTTGAGAGGTACAAAAGTCCCTCCTCCTAATGTTCTGGTTACCTACTAGCTGGGTACAATCAATATCACTAATTCTTTTGTTTATTCTGACAGAGGTGTGCCAAAGAATTTCATATCTATATAATGTAAATGATCTTGACTGTATTCCCAAAGAGTACTATAAACCCACTGCCATTGAGCTGATTTCCACTCATCCTGGTGTTGTAGCACAGAGTAGAACTACCCCACTGGGTTCCAAGGCAGTAAATCTTTTCAGAAACAGTCTGCCACATCTTTTTTCCACAGAGCAGTTGGTGGGTTCAAAGTGCTGACCTTTTGCTAGCACCCTGATTCTTTAACCGCTGCGCCAAGAGTAATATCCAAGCTAAACCCACTGCCATTGAGCCCAATCGGACTCTTAGTGACCCTCGATGGGATTTCCAAGGCTTTGAACCTCTACAGGAGCAGACAGCCTCATCTTTCTCCCAAGGAGAGGCTGGTGGGCTCAAGGAACACCACCAGGGCTCCAAGAGTACTGTGCAATTCTAAAACATGACATTGATGAAAATGGATTTCCGGATATGAAAACAAACAGACATAGGCCTCCTGGGCTCTAGGTCCTTGTTACCTCACATGCCTCACTACCTCCTCCATGCCCTGTCACACACGCTGCCCCAGACCTGCCACTCCTCACGTACACCAGCCATTCTTTCACGACTCTACTCCCTCTGCCTGGATTGAGAGCCGGCCGCGCATCCGAGGGCTCACACTACTCAGATGTCACCATCTCAGTTGACCTTCCCTAGCTACCCTCTCCAACACTGTCAACTCTTCCACCCTGAAGGTCCCCGGCTCTCTTCCTTGCTTTCTTTTTCTTCTTGGCACATAGCACTCTTTGAACATTAAGTGTTTTACATATCGTGATTATTACCGGCCTCTCAGTCTGAGCGTCATGAGCCCTGGGATTTTTACTCAGTCTGTATCACCAGGATTTAGAACAGAGCCTCACAATCAAAACCTTTGAATGAAAGAATGAATGAATATATTTAGGACTTAATCCCCATCTTTACAGCTAGGAAAATGCCAGGAGTAGAATGTTGGAGGAAGTGTCCTAACCACTCCTTTAGTTGTGTAACCACTAAAGAAAGCATCTCTGCTAGCTTAGTGGTGCACACCTGCCACCAAGATCATGGACCGTCTTTGTGGCTGGGGGAAGTGTCAAGAGGCTGTAGCATGTTGTTTTGAGGCAAAGTGACACTTGAAGGCATTATCTCTCTTGGCATCTCTGTGGTGTCATTGGCTTTTGAAATTCCAGTGCTACCTAATATTTATAACTTTCATGGTATTTTAATGTTTTGGGAGATTTTTGTGGTTATTCTTATCTCAGTCTTTAAAGGTCCAGTCATTGGGCCTCCACACAAGTATGCCCTCAACGAAGAACACTTTGTTCTAATAACCCGGCTTTCTGTGATACTTACTTTCCCTTACACAATCGCTGAAGACAAATGGGTGCATAAGCAAATGTGGTGAGGAAAGCCAATGGTGCCCGCCTATCAAAAGATACAGTGTCTGGGGTCTTAAAGGCTTGAAGGTAAACAAGCGGCTATCTAGCTCAGAAGCAACAAAGCCCACATGGAAGAAGCACACCTGCCCATGTGATCATGAAGTGTCGATGGGATCAGGTATCAGGCATCAAAGACCCAAAACAAAATCAAAAAACATACCAATGTGAATGAGGGGGAATGCAGAGTGGAGACCCAAAGCCCATCCGTAGACAATTGGACATCCCCTTATAGAAGGGTCACAAGGAAGAGACGAGCCAGTCAGGGTGCAGTATAGCACTGACCACACAACTTTCCTCAAGTTCTTTAATGCTTCCTACCCGCGGCTATCATGACCCCAGTTCTACCTTACAAATCCAGCTAGACCAGAGCATGTACACTGGTACAGATAAGAGCTCGCCACACAGGGGATCCAGGACTGATAAACCCCTCAGGAACATTAATGAGAGTAGCAATAATAGGAGGGTAAGGGGACGGTGTGGGGAGAAAGGGGGAATCGATCACAGTGATCTACGTATAACCCCTTCCCAGGGGGATGGACAACACAAAAGTGAGTAAAGGGAGACTGGTCAGTGTAAGACATGAAAAAAACAAGAACTTATAAATTATCAAGGGACTATGAGGGAAGGAGGGTGGGGGAAGAGGGAAATGAGCTGATACCAAGGGCTCAAGTAGAAAGAAAATGTTTTGAAAAGGATGATGGCAGCATATGTACAAATGTGCTTGACACAATGGATGTATATGTGAATTGTGATAAGAGCTGTAAGAGCCCCCAATAAAATGATTAAAAAAAAAAAAGTCCAGCGAAGAATAGGACCTTCTCCCTTCAGTTTTATGTTAATCGACACTAACGGGTCAGTACTTGTAAGACTGGGCCATAAAAAGTTAGGTTCTTCTGTTATATCCTGGGGTGTCATTCAGGTAATTGCAAAGATAGGTTCTTGGCAGCACAGGTCTCTGAGGTAGAGAAGTGAGCTTCGATTAGGAAAAGCTCAAGGGACCAAGGGAACTGGCTCCTCAAATGGCAAGATCACAAAGGTGTCATACATAGTTGGGCATAATTTAAGCAAAGCCAGTCAAGAGAGTTGGCCTAGAAACAAGGAACTCAAGGATTCTTATCTGAGAGGGTAATGGCTAATGATTTTCAATGTCAGATCTGCTACACTGTGCAGCCTCTTAGCCAGGAAGCTTATGAAAGAAGAGTAGAATCCAGCCCCGAGAAGGATTGCTTGGTCGAGTGAATCTGACTGTTCTGGAAACTAGGAGTGTTCATCTGGGTACTTTAGAGAAACAAATCCACAGAAACTCATGTATTAGAGAGAGTTTTATATACAGGTTAAGGGTGCTTTAAGAAAATATCCCAACCCAGTGCTGCCCAAGCCCACAGTCCAACATTAACCCATATGTCCGACAACAATCCACAAAGCCTTCCTCCATCTCACAAAACACGCAATGACGCCAACTACAGGAGGAAAGCTAAGTCCGTGAATTTGTAAACATCTCAGCGCTGGCAGGGGTCCCCACACGGGTGCTCCAGCACCCAGGGCTGCATCAGGGTAGGTCCATGTGGCTTCTCCTCAGGGATGCCTTGCAGGAAATGAGCCTTGCCAACTAAAGCAGGGACCTGGCTAAGGCAGCTGCACCCTGGTCCGACCATCAGAAAGCAAGAGACCCGAGAATTCGAAAGGTGAGGATCACCGAGCCATTTCTCTCTCGGCCCTTTAATTAACCCCACATGTGTTTCTTGTCCAGGTTGGCACAATCAGCTAACTACCTCACTAGGGTAGGCCTGGAGGATAGGAGGGCAGCCTGTCAGCACTGAGAAGGGAATGCAGAGGCAAACCCTTACTCCAATAGCTGCATGAGTAATGCGACAGGAGCTTTTGTGGGTACAGGGAACATGACTTCCTCTCGAGGACCCTGGGTCATTGGTTTGGATCTTTGTTTGATGGAGTGGCAGGGACACTTGGGGTGAAGAAATATACAAGTGAGCCGTGGTGTTGAAACTTAGCCACTGCATAAGAATCTTAGAAAGTGAGTTTATTTCAAGTTTTATCAGCTGGTGTAAGGGGGATGGTGTCAGGTATTAATTCCTTTCCGGTCTCAGTGAAGACGGACTCAAGACTGGGATGAACGGGAATCTGGGTGATATCAGTAGGTATCACTGTGAGCAACAGGGGAAAACTGAAGCAAAAGCGATCAGACAACTTAAGGTTTTTCTAAGCTGATGCAAAAAAGAATAAATTTTAATGGACATACTAAAAATTAATGATTTATAAAGCAGGAGAGCCAGCTGTGGGAGTGTCATTAAATGCATGAAACGAGTCCTAAATACTAAGTAGCAAATGTGAAGTGCCATGGTGGTGCGGTGGGTCGGGGCACTGGGTGCACTCAGATGCTCACTGTTACAGGGCCACTGTGAGCTGGAATTGATTGGATGGCAATGAGTTTGGTTTGAAGGGCATGTGTTGGTAGAGTTTTTATCTTGTAGCTCAGTGTTTTGGCAAGTTCAAAGCTATTGTTAAATGCATAAATACATATTTAAAATCTAAGCTCCTGAGAAAATGTTCAGAAAGGACTTCAACACAATGGATTTTGGGATGGAAATGTCTTCATCAACGTGAATTATACGTGGCTGCATTGTTGTTCTTCCTACGATATTATCTACCACAGTAGTGTGTGGTCCTGTTACCTATGAGAGATCCTTTTAGGCAGCTTTGCCAGAATGTCCGAGTAATCTGAGTAACCATTGGGTTGATGCCAAGGATATTTCTCTCATATTTGACATGGTTTTTCCAACTATATAAACTTCTACTGTAGAAGGCAATTGCTTTCAGTTTTTTCCAATGTTAAAAGTCAATTTGGTGTGAAATAATTGATATAGAGGATATTAATATGATAAGACCTACAGCTTAATTTTAATATATCATTTGAGAAAGTCACTTGACTTTCCCATGAATGATTTACAAGACCCAGCCCTCTTTATTCCCGCCACCCAGTGCCTGACCCACCGCCCCACCAGGCCCCTCCTAGTATGTAGTTCACCCAACCAGCCCATAGGAACTGGTGCTGGAGGTGGCAGGACTCCCCATTTTCTGACTGCCGTGTGGGATCACAAAGTTATTAAAAACAATATTTGTAGGAGGAAGCAGGCTACCTCCAAAAGAACCCTATTAATTTGTTGAACATTTTTCCCCCTAGGCAAAAGCTAACAGTATGTCCAATCATCGATGGGGAAGAGCATCTTCGTTTGTTGAACTTTCAACACAATTTCATCACTCGGATCCAGAATATTTCTAATCTGCAGAGCCTAATCTTCTTGGATTTATATGATAATCAGATTGAAGAAATTAGTGGACTTTCCACTCTGAGATGCCTCCGTGTCCTTCTGTTGGGGAAGAACAGGTAACCTTTGTGGAGCAGCTTTTGTTGGTAGCCCGATAGGATAATTTGATGCATGCTGAGTTCTGTAGTGAAACGGCAGCTCAGAAATGTGTGGTACTTAGGAAAGCAAGAGGATACAGGTTTTCAAAGGTTATCCGAGTGAATGAAGATCCTGTCGTTCTATGTTTCTCAGACTCAGCCTGGCAGTCAAACCAGACACGCAGATTGGTTTCATTGTTTCCAGCGCCATGCATGATTGGGACGGGGTAGTGGGCGCTCCCCTTGCCTTTGCTTTCTTCGCTCACATTTTAGGCTTGTGTCCACTTTGGCTCCTGTGTTTCCCTTGTAATTCTTCTCAGCACATTGGCTAAGGATAGACACGTACCGTTTTAACTGACTGTTAAATTGACTCTTGAATTTATATTCAGATGACAGTTTCAGTGTGTGTTTAATATGGCTTCCTGTATACATGTCCCTAACTCCTTATAATGCTCAGTTGTATAATAAACAAAAAAAAGAACAAACCCTACCATCATCCAGTCCACTCTGACTCACAGCGTGCCGCTTTACAAAATATCCAAGATAGTACCTCGTTACAGGGGTAGAGTTTGCGATTAGCAGCCTTATGCCGAACCCACCGCCCCACCTCTGAACATGTAGTATACAGTTCATTCACAAGCGACCTGTTTGTTCTTCAGCACTTTAGAGAGGTCTTGTGTAGCACATTTTCCAAGTGAAATACCTCATCTCCTTTCTCGACTGCTGCTTTCATGAGCATTGATGGATCTAACTAAAATGAAATCCCCAATAACTTCAATATTTTCTCCATTTACCATGATGTTGTCTGTTGGTTCAGTTGTGATCATTTTTGTTTGCTACACATTGAGTCCTAATCCACACTGGAGGCTGCCTTTTTGATGTTTATCAGCAAGTGCTTCAAGTCCTCTTGGCGTTCAGCAAGCAAGGTTGTGTCATCTGCATATTCCTTCAGTCTTCATGCTGCATTCTTGTTCATGTCGTCCAGCTTCTCAGAGGATTTGCGCAGTGCACAGCCTGAGCAAGGAGAGTGAAAAGATACAGTGCTGATGCACAGCAGCCCTGATTTCGGACCACCCCGTGTCCCTTTCTTCTGTTCAGCAGGCTGCCTCTGGGTCTAAGTGCAGTTTCCACCGGAGTACTGTGAAGTATTTAGACATCTTCATTTTCCTCATTGTTCTCCACAGTTGATTGTCATCTCAGTGGAATGCCCTGACATAGTCAATAAAACATAAATATACATATTTCTGGTATTCTTTGTTTCAAGCCAAAATCTGTCAGTTCAGCAGTTTTATCCCTCATTCCACATGCTCTTCTGAATCCAGCTGGAATTTCTAGGTTCTCCCTGTAGATATATTGCTCTAACCATTTTTAAATGATTCTGTAGTTGAGCATCATAGAAGTGTACTTGTCTGTGCTATTTGTGGTCATGTTTAATTTCTGCATGCTCTTGGGTCACCTCTAGGTTAGGTTGCTGCCTTTCAAATTTCTTAACCTAGACTAGTCAGTGCTTCAGTGCTACGCCAGTTTCTTGAAACCTTTCAGTCGGCACCCCTTCTTCCTAGCCTGTCTTGTTCTGGAAGCTCCACTGAAACATGTTCACCATGGGTGACCCTGCTGGTACTTGTAATACTAGTGGCAGCGCTTCCAGCCCCACAGCAGTATGCAAACCGCTGCAGGGGGACCACTGACAGACAAGTGGTTGCGCTGACACCTGTTCTTGAGCAATCCAGACCCTCCTTTTGGCCCTTGAGTGAGGAGCTGTTTTCTTGGGAGACTTTTTCACCTGCCTTGCTGACACGCTGTCCAGGAGCCCCTCCATAATACCTAGGGTTCCTGCCACCTTAAATCACTTCTCTACTTTTTCCTCTTCCTACCTTTCAACTCTGCGGGCTTCTAAGAATAGCCTCTGACCATTTAAAAAATCATTCATGCCTTGACCACACCAGTCTATCTGACCTTATTTAAGGTCGTATTTTACATAATACACCTAAAAAATCACTTTTAGACAGTTTTAGGGCTGTTAAGAATCTTGAGTCAAAAAGGAAATGTAGCCAGAAGATAATGTCTCACTTCTCTCTAATTGTGTATTTCTAAAGTATCTGTAAAAGGCAAACCTGCCAGGTGTGTTCCAGCTGGGTTGGCTTTGTGCTGGTCAGGGGCCTGTGAGCCAAATCTGTCCAGAGGCCGCGCTTGAGGCAACCTGGCCGAGAATGCTGGAGAGAGGAAAGCTCACCTGCAGCTCAGGCTCCTGGGTTTGTCTGGGATGACTTCCTGCCCCTGCTGGTGGAGCCCAGCCCGGTATCATCTTTCAGCCCCGGCTGTGACAGCATACAAAGAAATCCGAGGTATCTGTGCCCTTCTAGGTTTGGCAGCCCCAACAAAGCTTTCTGTTCAAATATAAAGAGAGTCCCCGCGCGCGTTCTGCTTCTGTGTGTGAAGTTTACACTGTTACCAAGGAACAGGCAACCGCTCTGCCACTCTGCTGTTGAAGGCCTTGCCCTCTGACTCCCCTACCTTGGGTATTTTCTGCTTCCCTTCTCGGAGATCTCCTGGCGCCTCTTGATGGCAGGTTAATGACTAGAACCTCACTGTACTTTCTCCCGATTTCCCAGGGGCAGATGCAGAGCTCTCTTCCAGACCCTGGGGTTCCCTATTTCTTTCCTTTTGCCTCCTTTACATGTCCCCTTACGTGTAAGGGTTTATCTCTGATACCTGGAACGTGTCCAGGGCCTGTCATGGTGTCCTTCTCTGGTATCAGTAGAAGAGTGTGGCCTTCAGAGACATCCCTCGAGTCTGTAGCTGTTGGGGGGTTGGGGAGCCTAGTCTTTTTTCTAGTTCAGTTTCTGTTCAAGGGGAGAACAAACTTTAAAAAAAAAAATCTTTCAGCTCACATTCTTCTTAGCAAAAATCCTCAACTCTCTGGGACGAGACTGGAATTCTGAAAACTGCATCAATTCTCCATCCACCCAGAGGACACCTAGGTCAATTGATGCTTTCAGGTGCTTCTGAAGTCTTTAGAATTCGGTCACTTTTACATCATTTCAGGTGCTGGAAGCATATGACGGAAAGACTCTACAGCAAAGGCAATTCGTAAGAACAAGACAGCAAGACACTGCGTTGTTGGAGTTCCATGAATAAGCAGTGTGCCCCTTTCCCTTCCTGTTCATTGGGCAATCAGAATCTGAAGTGAGAGCCTCGATGTGTCAAAGCTAAGAGAATGTTTGAAGTCACACTAGGTGGGAGTTATACTAGAGAAGAATCCCTGGTAGAATTCTGTAGGAAGAGGTGTTTAAGCAGATCAGAAGGTTTTTGTGATGGAAAGGCCTTAATGATGTTCGGAGTCTCAGATAGAGACAGACAGGGGTGCTCCAGAGAAGAGAGCCTTGGGCTTACATAATCTCTGTTGTCCTCACTACCTACATTTCATACCATTAAACATATATTTCTCAGACAGATAGGTAGTGGCCACAGCTCAAAGTTTTTATCAATTCACTGATGAGGGGGCCGACAGGATGCCAACTCAGGTTTAAAGGAGGCTCAGAGAAGTCAGAGAAAAAGACCTTTTTTTTTTAAAATGCTAGAATAATGGGTTCATGTCTTACCAGGCAGTAAAATGATAACCCCTGGGGTTATCGTTCTACTGGACAGAATATTTCCACCTAACAACACTTGTGATGAGCTCTCATCATTTTCAACAAGTTAGTATCTAACTCCCAGGGTCTGGGCGCTAATCAGTAGTTGTCAAATGTCCCCTAGGGTAGCGTATTGACAGTGTGCTCGTGACATTGAAAGAACATGCAGTCGTCTCTTTGCTTAATTTCCAAGTTTGGGGTAGTTTGTTTTTAAACAGAGTAGCTCCTTTTCTTCTGTGCTTATATGTCACGATCTTACAAGATTTGTTTTTATTCTGCGTGCTTTTCTCTTCAATATTGTACGTTTCCCATGTTCTTTGAAAATGTCATTTTTAAGGGCTCCATAATGTTCCCTCTAGTCCAGTGATTCTCAACCTTCCTCATGCCGCGACCCTTTCATGCAGTTCCTCATGTTGTAGTGATGCCCCCAATCATAAAATTATTTTTGTTGATACTTCATAACTGTAACTTTGCTACTGTTATGAATTGGGCGACCCCTGTGAAAGGGTTATTCAACCCCCAAAGGGGTTGCGACCCACAGGTTGAGAACCATTGCTCTATGGTTATATGTATTTATAAATGTGTCTACATCTCAATCATATATGAGGGTCTTTTCATATCTTGTCATATATTTGCATTGCTTTCATATTTAGTTATGACACTGTTATTATGCATTTTGGGTCACCCTGCTGATATTTGAAATACCAGTGACATAGCTTCCAACATCACTGCAACACACGTCTTCACAGTACGACAAAATGACAAACTGGATTGAGAGGCAGTTATATGAACAAAACAAGGGAATATTGTATGGTTCAAAATCAGAAAAGGTGTGCATCAAGATGGAATCCTCTGACTGTACTTATTCAGTCTGTATACTGATTGAGAAGCTAGGTTATATGAAGAAGAATGTAGCATCAGGATTTGATGAAGGCTTATTAACAACCTACAATATGCAGATGACACAACCTTGCTTGCTGAAAGTGAGGAGGAGGAGGAGGACCTGAAGCACTTGCTGGTGAAGATCAAGGATCACAGACTTCAGTGTGGATGACAACTCAGTGTAAAGAAAATCAAAATCCTCACAACTGGTTATCAATAGATAACATCATGATACATGGAGAAAAGATTTGAATTTGTCAAGGATTTTGTATTGCTTGGATCCACTATCAGTGCTCATGGAAGCAGCAGTCAAAAGACCAAAGGCATGTTGGGTTCCATTGGGTACCTCTGCTGCACAAGACCACTTGTGAGTATTGAAAAGCAAGGATGTTACTTTGAGAACTAAGGTGTGCCTGACCCAAGCCTTGCTATTTTCAATCGCCTAATATACATGTGAAAGTTGCACATTGAATCAGGAAGACCGAAGAAGAATCAATGCATTTTAATTGTGGTGCTGGTGAAGAACATTGACAGTACCGCAGACGACCAAAGAACAATCAAAGTTATCCTGGAGGAAGCACAGCCAGAATGCTCCTGAGAAGCAGGGTGATGAGACTTCCTCTCATGGAGTTGGGCACGTTGTTAGGAGAGGCCAGTCCCTGGAGACAGGCATCGTGCTTGGTACAGTGGAGGGCGGTGACAGGACGGACTGACCAGTGGCTGCCGCAATGGGTTCAAACATAAGAGCAATTATGAGGCTGGCCCAGGACTGGGCAGCGTGTATTTCAGTTCTAGGATCCAACTTCTTCAAGTACCTAACAACAACAGCTGTCAGGATGCATTTTCTATTCACAAGTAGACTGATGGGGAGAAACTGCCAAACCATCTCCCACAGAGGTGTCTTTAAGTTTCCTTAGAATAGGTTCTAGTCTTGTCTTTCGGTGGATTCACCCTCTTAAAGCTCACAGGAGAAGGCGATTGAGGTTGACATACAACTAGGGCGGTAGTTCCTGAAATGTGATCCCAGCTGCAACAGAATCACCCAGAAACTTGTTTCACACTGAAAAATGCTTAAAAGGGCAAATTTATGCCATGTGTATTTTGTGACAATAAAAATAATTGAACAAAAGCTTACTATAATAGCCTTGAGATCAGGCTGATGTTAGCAGGCATGGCTTTTCCTAAAGCCATAGTATTAGCATTTTGTGTTTCCTCCCAATTATTCTAGGTGCTTCAAGAGCAAAGCATAATACAGAATAATAGCTGTGGAGAGTGTTGTCTGTTTTTCGATCTGGGTTGGCTGTTACTTTGGTTGTTAGTGACATTTAAGAAATGCGATAGTATGAACTGTGTGGCTCTGGGAGAAGGGTCCTGAAAGAGTGCGCCGAGTCCGGGAGGGTGCTGAGGACTGAGGTGAAGCCACTGCGGATGCCCAGGAGTGGCCGAGGACAAGAGCAGCTTCTGCCGGGTGTTGGTATGAGTGGAGCCTGATGAGGAGGTTGAGGTCATCAGGGAGAGAGGAAGAAAAACATGCAGTCTGTGTTGATGCATGGTGGGTGCACTGTAAATATTTTTAGAAATCAAATTGGATTAGATTGTTTTGTGGTCTTGTAATTTGGGGTCTGGCAATGATGTCAGATGGCTGATGAGGTTCAAGAAGTTTGGGTTTGAAATATGGTTGCATGGTGATAAGCATAGATATGACATTTCGAGGTATGATCATAGTTCTGGAAACATTTGGGAAGGTTGAGGCAGTGAGCAAAGGCAGTAGAACTAGTGATAGATAGATGGTAAGAAAGACGGACGGATGCCAGGACCTGCGTTTTTATCCTCTTGTTCTCTTCCCGTAGTGCAGGGAGTAGTAGGGGAAAGTGGGATCTATCTGTTGGAGGGAGAACAAGAAAAGGGACATGCTTTCGTTTTGTCTAGCTTTGTTTCTTGTGAGAAAAATCCAGTTGGAAGCAGGGTCAGACATGTAGACAGGTAAGCTAGGCATAGAACTTAAGACTGAGGCAGACAACGAGTCAGGCGCTAGCTGTTAGTGTATTTCAGAGGGCCATTTAGAGAGATTTTCACACGTGTGTGTGTTTTAATAGCAAAATTAAAGCGTCTGACAAGATACTAAAACTAAAGTTCTAAACATATATTAAGGCATTTCATAAGCCAAGTAAGTTCAGTAGAAAGCATTTAGGTGATTTCTAAAATAGCTCTTGTGATATATAGTACTATTAAGTGCCCTTGTATGTAAAGCTCATCCACTTAACTAATTTTCTCATTCATTCATTAACTATTGATTGGGTGCTGACTCAGTGGCACACACTGTTATGGATGCTGGGAAATGCAGAGAGAAAGTGTCTTCAGTTTCTGCCCTCTTAAAAACTCAAATTTTGGCTTGGAGAGAGAGAGATCATAAAGAAAGAAATACATAAATAATACAAATTTCCAAGCCCCCCAACAAAACCCCTAAGCCCATGCCTTTGAATCGAGTCTGACTCATAGTGACCCAAATAGGGTTTGTAAGACTGGAAATCTTTATGGTAGCACCTCACCTTTTTCAGCACAGAGTGGTGCCTTAGGACTGTAGACCATGTGGTTAGCAGCCGGATGCCTAACCTGCAACTCCACCAGGACTCCTTAATATAAATACCCCAAACCCAAACCAAATCCACGCCAGAAAGTCGACTCTGACTCATCCTGACAGGGTAGCACTGCCCCCCGTGGATTTCTGAGCCTGTAACTCTCTCTGGGACTAGAAAGCTGGTTTTCTCCTGAGGAGTAGCCGGTGGTTTTGAACTGCCAACCATGCTGTTCGCAGCGTAACTACTGCACTACCAAAGTTCTCGCCGGTAAAGTTGAGGGTCAGTGAAAAAGTGAGACTCTCAACAGCATGGATTGACATAATGGCTGCAGTAATGAGCTCGAATGGTACAGGGACCAGGCAGTGTGTAGCTTCATGTGGACGGAATTGCTTTGAGTCGGAGGAGGCACCAGGGCATCTAAAGATAAGAGCAGTTTAAACAGAATCAAGAAAGATAGGATAGGGAGCAGGAAAGGAAAGTTACCTTAGACAGCATCCTCTAGAAAGACCTGTGTGGGAAGATAATTAAGGGGAGACCTGAATAATAGGAAAGCTTGACCCTTCTGAAGATTCAGTGGGAAGAGCCCGAAGGCAAAAACAATAGCAGTGGTAAACACCCGGAGGCAGAATAAACTTGTCATCCTTTGGTGGGAGATAATACAGGAGAAAAAGTCATCAGCCAGTTAGGTCAGACGTATGAACAACCTTCGGTATGCGGATGATACAGCCTTGCGTGCTGCAAGTGAGGAGGACTTGAAGCATTTGCGGACAAAGATCTAAGAGGGCAGCCTTCAGTATGAATTGCAACTCAATGTGAAGAAGACCACATCCTCACAACTGGACTGATAGGTAACAGCATGGCAAGTAAAGAAAAGATTGAAGTTGTCAGGGATTTTTGCATTGCTTGGATCCACAATTAATGTTCACGGAAGCAGCAGACAAGAGATCAAACAGCTAATATCAAACGGTAAATCTGCGGCAAAAGCTCTCGTTAAAAGGTATTGAAAAGCAAGGACCTTCCTTTGAGGACGAATGCGTGCCTGAACCAAGCCAGGGTATTTTCAGTGCCTTTTATGTGTGTGAAAGTTGGACATTAAATAAGACAGCCTGCAGAAGAATCCATTGGAATCGTGGCACTTTCAGCGAATATTGAAAGGCCCGTGGACTGTCGAAAGAACAAGCAGGCCTGCTTTACAGCCAGAGCCCTCTGTGGAGGGTGAGACTTTGTCTCTCATATTTTGGACATGTCAGGAAGGACCGGTGCCTGGAGAAGGACATCAGACGTGGTAAAACCCGGTGGCAGAGACAAAGAGGAAGACCTTTGACAAGATGGGTTGACACAGTGGCTGCATGGATGAGGTCAAACATAAGAACAATGAGAGGATGGCGCAGGACAGGGCAGTGTTGAGTTCTCGTGATCTACGCGCTTGTCTGTCTTCCTGGTCTACTTTAGAGGCAGCATCATTAGTTTGTGGTGAGATAATGTAAATGACCTCTATGAGACATTTGGTAATTCCAATAGTAGTATGGTTAATCTAGCCAATGTTACAGATTTTAAAGTAACATTGAGAAAAAATATATATACATATGTAAATAAAGCCTTTTGGACTAAAACACATGCAATGTTCACTTGTATAGGTTAAAAACCTAAGTAACTGAATACTTCGTAAGAAAGCAACAAGGGTTAGACACAAAGCAAAAATTTCAATCACTCATTTATGAAGGCAAAATTATATCTGCATTACTAAGACAGCCACAAAAAGCAAAGAAAGTGTGAAAAAAAGCAAGTTGTCAATTATTTGGAAACCCCTAAAGCAAGAGATAGGAATTGAAGTCCATTGACTTCCAAACCCATGACTGTGGAAAAGCAGTCCTCTGCTTCTTCTCTGGGGCATTTCAGCTTTAAGCTCATTGGGATGTTTTCCACACAAGAGGACTACATCTTTAAACGTATAATGAAGTCAATGGGAAGTATATTTTGTTTAAAAGGTTGATGAGCGTTATGTAAAGCGAGTTACACCTTAGCCTGTTTTGATTTACAGGTAAATTCATGTTTCTAATCTACTTATTCTAATTTTCAGAATTAGAAAAATATCAAATCTGGAGAATCTAAAAAGCTTGGACGTCTTGGATCTCCATGGAAATCAGGTATTGTAGCCCCTTTCTTACTTTCATTAAAACAAAAAAAAAAAAAGCAAAGAAAAAAAACAACCCTTTACTCACTACCAACCCACTGCCATCAAGTCAATTCCAGGTTAACTCTACAAGGCATTATAGGACCGATGGGAGCCTACAGAACAGAGCAGAATGATCCTAGGCTTATGAGGCCTACATCTTTCCAAGACCAGGTGCCTCATCTTTCTCCTGCAGGGCAGCTAGTGGGTTTGAACTGCAGATCTTGTGGTTAGCAGCCCCAACACACAATCCACTACACGCCTTTTTGAATAAGAAACAACATATGAGACAAAATTGCTATAACCATGAGAATTACACAATTTACTTATTATTTACTACAGAGGAATTACCACATTTTCTATATGAAACCTTAATACCTTAGAAGTTTCAGTGAATTGGTGGAATAACTCTTAAATAATTCAACATAAATATGATCCTCAAAACTTTTATAATGTTAAATTTCCTGGACTATTTGAAAAACTACTTAGAAGAACAGGTTAGGCTTTTGGCTCACAGTTACTACTTGGCAGGTACTGTGTGTATTTTGCAGCTCTTGTGGAACTAGCGCAGTGCTGGGTACTTAGAAGAGCCCAAATGATAGATTCCTGGGTTATTTTACAGAATTGACCTCATCTACCATGGTCAAATTAAAAAATTACAAAAAAAGCTCCTTCAGTTAAATTTCATAAGTTAGATGATGTCGTACGGTCTACACCATAAAATGTTGGGAATGGGTTTTTAAAGTGCTCTCATTGTCATTGAATCCAATGAACTCTAACCATATTATTTTAAGGGTTTTTTATAACATGCATACCTGAGATTTCTGCCTGCTAACCACTCCTTCTTCATTTTCTGACAGATCACCCAAATCGAGAATGTCAGTCATTTGTGTGATTTGAGAGTTTTAAACCTTGCCAGGAACCTTTTAAGTCATGTTGATAATCTGAATGGACTGGATTCACTAACTGAACTTAACCTGCGACACAATCAAATCACTTTTGTGGTGAGTATTGAAGTGGAATTAATATGTACTTTCTGATTTTGATTTTAAGGAAATGAAACAAATGCTCAAGCTTTTGTTCATATTTAGCTTTATGAAAATTAAGAATTTGATATTATTTAGCATTCTCTGAATTGAAAGTATCAATATAATTTGTTTAGCTTGATACTATTCTGATTTGAGAAATATTAAGGTCCTTTGCATTGGTTTGAAGGACCCTGATGGCGCAGAAGGTTAAGCACTGGGCCGCTGCACAAAAGATTGGTGACTCAAACCCGCCAGCCAGTCTGTGAGAGCACGAGGAAGCAATCTAGGATCATAAAGATTCCCAGCTTTGGAGACCGTAGTGGAGCAATTCTACTCTGTCCCGTAGGGTTTGAAGTGTTTTGTCTTTTCAAGGACAAGTGGTAAATTCGAAGCACTGAAAAGAATGATGTCAATAAACGAATCCGATAGGGAGAATATATCCTGGATGCTTTGCTGCTCCTTTTTTACCTCTGGCGTAGAATCAGAAAGAAAGATGACTAAAGATGAGAAAGTATTGCACCAAAATAGAAAAGGCACAGGAGAGATTGAGGGTTGTGACCCAAACCCAGCCCAACCCACCGCCATTGAGTCAATTCCAACTCATAGTAACTGTGAGGTAGTAGACAGGCACCAGAGACCAAATCAGCCGAATTAGAGCAAGCAGGCTTTATTAGGGAGAAAAACCCAGCCCGGGCGAAGTCCCATGGTCCATAGTGTCCAGGCCGAGGGAGTCGCGCCCCAGGCTACAGGGGTGGTGTTTATATGGCCAGAGAACATGTGACTGGGCTGCCTGTACCATATAAGGTAAAGTAGTCAGGGATTGGGAGATACAGGTATGTCTGGGTTTCTGGAATGTAAGGTGTCTTCCTGGTTCTGGGTGTATTCATGCCAGGTGCAGAGCGGTGGGTTGAGAACAAAGCGTGCGCTGAGCCAAACGGGCCGTGCCAGGTACAGAGCGGCAGGTGGAGAATAAAGTGGGCCATTAGCCAGCTCTGGTCAGCTCTGCAGGTGTGTGTGGTAGATTCAAGGTCACTCACTGCTAGCTAGCTCTGGTCAGCTCCGCACGGTGGGGGAGATTCAAGGTCACTTGCTGCTAGAAGCCGGCCTGGTGTTGATCCAGCCATACAGTAACCAACAGGGCAGAGCAGAACTGCTGCCTGGGGTTTCTGAGACTTTACAGGAGCAGAAGCAGAATGCTTCACTTTCTTTCTGCAAAATTATTAGTGGGTTTGAACTGCTAAACTCGTGGTTAGCAGCACAATATATAACAAACTAATCCACCAGGGGGTTCCTTGAGTTTTAGAGAGGCACATGTAAATATCAGATCTTTCAAAATTTTTAAGAGGGCTTGATGTAGAGTAAGCATTTTATAAAGCATCAGAAGCCTAGTTCTGGCCTTAGCTTCTCCTTGCTTAAACTATGTAGCTTTGGGTAAATCACTTTAACTCTCTGCCTGCAGTTATTTCTAAGATAAGGACATTGAACAATGGTCTTTTTTTCGCTTTATGGGTATGAAGATATAAGAGTGATACATTTTGATCTTGAGTTGATGCCAACTCATAGGGAACTCATACAGGATTTCCGTGATCCTAAATCTTTACAGCAGCAGACAGCCTCATCTTTCTTGGTGAATTTGAACTGCTGGATCAACATCCTAGCCTCTAACAAGCATTCTAATTATACTTCTTACAAGATAGATTTGTTTGGTCTTTGGGCAGTCCATGATACTTACAGAATTCTTTGCCAACACCATAGTAAAATGGTAAAATGCACGATTCTTCTTTAGTCTTCCTTATTCTGTGTCCAACTTTCATATGCCTGTGAGGCCATTGAAAGCAGCATGGCTTGAGTCAGGCACACACATTAGTCCTCAGAGTAACCTCCCTCCTTTTCAGTACATAAAAGAGGTTTGTGCAGCAGATTTACCCATGTAACTTGTCCTTTGTTTCTTGACTCCTGCTTCCATGAGCATTGATTGTTGATCCAGGAAAGATGAAATCTTTGACAATTTGAATCATTTATCCACTTATCATGATGTTACTTACTAGTCTAGTTGTATTTTTGTCTTCTTTACACTGAGTTGTAATCCATACGGAAAACTCTAATTCTGGCTCTTCATCAGCAAGTGCTTCAAGTCCTCCTCCCTTTCAGCAAGCAAGGTTGAGTCATCTGCATTTTTCAGATGCATTTTCCTCCAATCCTAATACTGTGTTCTTTACATAATCCAGTTTCTCAGATTATATGCTCAGCATAGAAATTGAAATGTACAGTGAGAGGATACAACCCTGACACACACCTTTTGTGATTTTAAATCATGCAATCATGCAGTATTCTCTTGTTCTGTTTGCACAACTGCTTCTAGATCCATGTACAATTTCCACATGAGCACAATGAATATTCTGGAATTCCCATTCTTCTTAAGGTTATCCATAGTTTGTTAGGAATCACAGTTTGAATGCCTTCTGAATAGTCGATAAACCACAAGTAAACATCTTTCTCATATTCTTTCTGGATCAAGATGATGTTGTTTGTTGTTGTTGTTGTTGTTGTTAGGTACCATCAAGTTAGCTCTGACCCATCGCAACCCTGTGCCCAGCAGAAGGAAATTGCACAGGCCTGTGCCGTCCTCACAATTGTTCCTGTGCCTGAGCCGATTGATGCGGCCACTGTGTCAGTCCATCTCATAGAAGGCCTTCCTCTTTTTCATCACCACTCTACTTTACCACACATGATGTCCTTCTCCAGGAACAGGTCTCTCCAGACTATATGTCCGAAGTATGTAAGACAAAGTCTTGCCATCTTTGCCTCTAAGGAGCACTCTAGCCTCACTTCCAATAGAGATCTGTTTGTCTAACAATCCATGGTATTTTCAATGTTCTTCTCCAGCACCATGATTCAAACGCATCTATTCTTCTATGGTTTTCCTTATTCAACTTTCACATGCATGTGATGAATACCATGAGAATACCAAGGTATGGGTCATGGTTGAGAATACCATGGCTTGGGTGAGGTGCACCTTAGTTCACAAAGAAACATCCTTGCTCTTCAATACTCTAATGAGGTCTTGTGCAGAAGATTTACCTAATGCAATATGTCTTTTGATCTCTTGACTACTGCTTCCATGAGCATGGATCCAAGTAAGACAAAATCCTTGACAACTTCAACCTTTTCTCCATTTATCATAACGTTACCTATTGGTCCAGTTGTGAGGATTTGGGTCTTCTTTATACTGAGTTGTAATCCGTACTGAAGGCTATAATCCTTGATCTTCATCAACATGTGTTTCAAGTTCTCCTCCCTTTCAGCAAGCAAGGTTGTGTCATCTGCCTACCGCAGGATGTTAATAAGCCTTCCTCCAACCTGATGTTGCGATCTTCATATAATCCAGCTTCTGATGATTTTCTCAGCATATAGATTGAACAGATATGGTGAGAGGATACAATCCGTTCTGTTTGCACAACTGATAAAGATGCTAGAGAACTAGAATGTGAGCGGAAGGAAAAGAGTTGGCATCATGGTGGCAAGCCTGTAGAAACACATCTGGAGCTCTGAAGATGTACAGTTTTGTCCATCAATACTTGATGCACAGGTATTGTGTACTAGTGCATATATGAAGAGCATTAGACATACAACTCTCTGGCTGTATGTTACAGTACATGCTATAAGACTCCCAGTGAGATAGGCAGAAGGGACCCCAAGAAGATGACACCCAGATAGAATCCTCTGCCTAGACTCTCCCTGCCCAAGCCAGAGACCATCAGGTATGGAAGTGAATTCTGGGAAATCAGACACTTGACCT